TCTTTTTCTCTTCTTCTTCTGGGACCCCTATAGTTTTAACGTTGGTGCGTTTAATGTTGTCCCGGAGGTCTCTGAGACTCTTCTGAGTTCTTTTCATTCTTTTTCCTTCATTCTGCTCTGCGGTAGTTATTTCCACTATTTTATCTTCCAGGTCACTTCTACGTTCTTCTGCCTCAGTTATTCTGCTATTGATTCCTTCTAGAGTATTTTTAATTTCATTTATTGTGTTGTTCATCCTTGCTTGCTTCCTCTTTAGTTCTTCTAGGTCCTTGTTAAACGTTTCTTGCATTTTCTCCATTCTATTTCCAAGATTTTGGATCATCTTTACTCTCATTATTCTGAATTCTTTTTCAGGTAGACTGCCTATTTCCTCTTCATTTATTAGGTCTGGTGGGTTTTTATCTTGTCCCTTCATCTGCTGTGTGTTTCTCTGTCTTCTCATTTTGCTTATCTTACTGTGTTTGGGGTCTCCTTTTTGCAGGCTGCAAGTTCATAGTTCCCGTTGTTTTTGGTGTCTGTCCCCAGTGGCTAAAGTTGGTTCAGTGGGTTGTGTAGGCTTCCTGGTGGAGGGGACTAGTGCCTGTGTTCAGGTGCATGAGGCTGGATCTTGTCTTTCTGGTGGGCAGGGCCACATCTGGTCATGTGTTCTGGGGTGTCTGTGGCCTTATTATGATTTTAGGCAGCCTCTCTGCTAATGGGTGGAGTTGTGTTCCTGTGTTGCTAGTTGTTTCGCATAGGGTGTCCAGCACTGTAGCTTGCTGGTCGTTGAGTGAAGCTGGGTGTTGGTGTTGAGATGGAGATCTCTGGGAGATTTTTGCCGCTTGATATTACGTGGAGCTGGCAGGTCTCTTGTGGACCAGTGTCCTGAAGTTGACTCTCCCACCTCAGAGGCATAGCACTGACTGACTCCTGGCTGCAGCACCAAGAGCCTTTCATCCACATGACCTGTCTGTTGTGGAGCAGTTGTACCTTTATTCTGATGACAATGCAATAGACTTATTAAAGAGTTCCTGCCCTTTGACACTTATGATAACATCACCTCTGGGAGTTGATTCCTAGTGTATGGAGCTTGTTGGCTCCCAAACGTCTGTTTGTTGCTCCAACTTTCAAGCTCTGGGGAAGCCGGTGCCACTTTGGGGAATATTGAAGGGAAATATCCTCAGGACAAGCTGTTCCGGCAGCTGATAGGGCCTTACCCCAAAATTCCCCTACCAGGGCTGGCTAGCCACAAGTAGCAAGGCTCTTGGCTGGCTGCGCCAAAATTTGTTAAGAGTCCAAGCTCATGCTGCTCACCACACTACAGGCCAATAAGTCAAGAAATGAGTTGCTGGGGCGAGGAATAGTGACTTTATTCAGAAATCCAGCAGACCAAGAAGATGGTGGCCTCACATCCCAAAGAACCATCTTGCCTGTGTTAAAATTCAGGCTCCTTTTATCAAGCATGGAATTTTGATTTCATTATTTCATTAAGCAGATAGTCACCAAGCTCCTAATATGTGCAAAGCCTTTTTACTGAGAGCTGGATTGCAAAGGAGTAATGAACGAATCCTTCCCTGCAGGAGATCACAACCTATTAGAGAAAGCAAAAGCCCTTCAACACTATAAGAACACACTGAAGGGGGATGCACAGACTCCCAGAGGAGGAGTAGAAAGACCAAGGAAGGCACCTCTGCCTGATACCCAACCAAAGCTCCAATTCTCAAGACAGTCTGGAATAATGGGCAGGTCCCAGCTTTGAATGCTGAAAACCCTGGGTTCAGTTTCCCCTTTGGCCACTTACTAGTTGTGCAAGTTGGCTAAGTCAGCATCTCTCTGAACTTCATGTTGTCCTTCTGTAAAAGCAGGGACATACCTTTGCTGCAAGGCTCTTGTAAGGATTAAGTGACCATTCATCCCAGGATCTGGACCAGAGAGTGCGTTCAAAGGAGGGTAACTTCCTTGTGTCATTCAACCAACAGTATACCTAGGCGTAGTATCTTTTTAAAGAAGCTGAGGATAACCTGCTCTTGAGTGAGTCACTTCCAATGAGAATCATATTTCTCATGTTTGAAAAGATCTGTTAACCAGTATTGCATTCAGAGCTTCCAAGCTCATAAGAAATCCAAATAGTAATCAAAATAGCTCCAGCAAGTTGAGATTCCCCCGTGTGCCAGGGACTTCATGTACTATAGTGGATGTTGTAATGCTGCTTCCAAATCTCTCATTAGAGCAGGGGCACTCATTCCCCCAGCCACCTGAAATGTTGACGGTTGACCACTCTCTCTCAGTCTTCCTTGGAGAAATGCCCTCTATTAAAAGGGACCACTTCATCCAAGTTTATGTCCTTTCCCCAGGGATGTCTTACAGCCTATGACTGGCTACGTGGGGATATGAAGACCTGACACCCTTATCTTGATTTGGAACAACTCAGAAGGACCATCTTAGTTCCAGGACTTCCCGTGGGATCAGCTGAGGGCTTTGCTGCAACGGCATGGCGATTTACCTTCTCCCTCTGCCCAACCCCACTTTGCTCATGCCCTCACAAGAGAACACCCCAGAAAACCTCCTGCATGCCAGTCTCTGCCATTAAGAGTGATTTCTGGTGAACCTGACCTAAGACAAATGCATTGTCTCATTAAATCTTTATCTATTTTTTAACCCTGTGAAGGGGAAATCAAATCGGTATTCACAGCTTTCATAGGATATAACTGAGGATTTGTTTTCTTGTCCAAGTTTACAGAGCTGGTGGGTAGCAGAGTGAAGATCTGAATACATATCTTGCTGACTCTATTCTCTTTATCCCTGTGCTGTGTAGCTTTCCTAAAGTAGTGGGATTAGCCAAACTCAGCCCTGGGACATAATTCAATATCCATCCCTCAGTCTTTAGTGAGAATAAATACAAGAATTATCCACTTAAACAGCATGACTGTGCTTTTTAAAAGAAAAATCTGTAGTTGATACTGACGTTCAGTGCCTTGCACAAGGACCCATGTGACATGTTTCTGCTCGGGCTTAGTTCCAGAGGGGAAAATATGGCTTTGAGATCGATTTGCATATCTCCCCTTGCCAGAAATTTAAAATATGGAATCCAACAGACTTCTTCTTTTTTTGCTTTAGCTGCCAAGGATTTTAAGGCCAACTTCAAATGCGGTCATTTCCTTTTCTCCCAGCCAGATGCTATCTACTCCCAATGCTTTTCACATAGAGTCCTCTTTCATCCTCACCAAAAACATATTGTCCACTGTGCTTTTATTTAGGAACTCATTCTATACGATGATATAAATCATAACATGTGTATGACTTAGAGAAGATAACATTGCCTGCCATGCCCATTATCCTTTCCAGGGAATCTTAGATCCTCAGGGCAGCCAGGTAGGGTTTGATGTGGCCCTCCCTCTCTGACCATTGCCCATTGCCCATTGGACCACAGCTGGGTACCAGAGGCAAGACGAACCCGACCATTGGTTAGCCAGCAGGGTCTGATGGGACCTGACAAAGAGGTTGCTGCCAAACCCACAGGATGTCTATTAATTGAGTCGCTCTTTGGAAAATGTAAATTGCATACATGGAAAGATTTTGTTGCTTGATAGTGAGGTAGAGAGAAGCAGATGTAGGGAGAGAAGCCAAGTCATGCTAATTTTGAAGCAATTTAAGATCTCCTTCTGCTGAGGTCTCTAGATCAGCCATAAATCTAGAACC